AATTCAGACGAAAATGTCATTGCGGTGTCTGCAACGGGCCTCAAACAGGACAGTATATAAGCAGCCAGTCACCACTAAGATATGTATTTGCTGCCTGATATGTATGGGGGAAAAAGGGAGAAGGGAGTTAAGTTTCCTGCAAGAATATGGGTGATGAGTCAACAGGCAGGGGATTGATAAGGCCGCAGTGCCTTCCCTGTTCTGTGCAGAGCTTTGTAACACCGGACTCCATTGCAGAGGGAACCACAGGGAAGGCAGGAGTGTTCTAAAGTCTAAGGGATGTTGGTAGTTGGCTTTTTATTGGCCCTTGGGAAACAGTGCTCTGTCAGAGAAGCATCTTCTGAGAGAAGAAATAGAGTTCAGGTGTAGCCCAGGATACCCAGCGGCAGAGCGGACTCCCGGGGGCACATCAGATGCCTGGTGGCCTCAGCAGGAGAGCACCAGCAGTCAGCAGAGGGGATTCCCCTGAGAGCACATATAAGGTATCCTCTAAAACATTCCCCAAATATGTGGAGATCGAGGCTCTGTAGTTCTAATAAACAACCTAGATGATTCTTATGTGCATTACAATTTGAGAACCATTAACGTAGATCTTGTCTTGCTGTTGAAATATTTACTGTTCTTTAGCTGGTACCTCTCTTGCCTGTTTGTGTTAAAATAGCAGCAACAATATCCAGACTTTTCTTGATGCTTCATGTTTTAATGTTCTTCTGTCTCTTAATCACCTGTTCCTAATGGGAGAGGCAATTATACCTGACTTCCAATAAAAAAGTCACCAGGGACCATATTAAAGATCCTTACCTCACCTACAGATTCCCAGCCATGGTGCATTTTTTTGGGCTTACTTCTTAAGGCCAAAGTCCATATCCAAAGTATCTGGACCCCAGTGACATATGATAAAGCACTAAGGGAGCATAGATTATCTATCAAACTACAACTAGGACCTACAACCGTATGCTTGTTGTTACAAGCATAGCTTTTCATTCAAATAATGTCTCGGTTTTGACAGGTAATCACATCTCATCCTTTTAAGGAGCAAATATATAAATTTGCTGCCTTTACCTTTGGAAAACTCATACTGGAAAAGTCAACTCACGTAGTCTGGAAAGAAGGGCATAGGTGTTAACGGCGTGTAGGGCACAGAGCACGGGGCACATCCTTAAAACAACAGAGTTCCTTAGTAGCTAGGCAGGAAGAGAGAACGCTCACACTTTGAGATTCCTCTGTGTTCTCTAACCAGTTGAGAAGGCAAAATAGGAAAGAGTATCGAGACAGAAGCACTGGTGAAGTGTCAAAAGCTTCAGTGAGTGGAGGATCAGGTCTAAAAAATGCTCAGTTATTCAGCAAATGGCAAGTCGTTACTGAACTGGAATAAAGCAGTTTTCATGAAATGAAAAGAGCCGTAGGAAGAAAGAGATTTGACAGTGTATTAAGGAGTGTGAAAGTAGAAACAGTAATTATTTTAATCTATTATGAAAGTATAGACCTGAATTAATGACAATAATAGATAATAATAGCTAATCCCTGTGTTATGCCATCTCTTCTTTAATCCTCACCACAACCCTAGGGCAAGTGTACTAGTATTATCTCCATCTTAAAATGAGGAACAGGAAAATTACAGCTAACTATCTTGCTCATGATCACAAAGCAATTACATGGACTGTTAGGAATTTAAACCAGGGATATTTGAGGGTTTTTTACCACTATGCTATTAACACCATAAAATCTGGAATTACTCTTGATTTTGAAACACATTTGGAAATTTATTTGCACTTTCTTATTGTGAAGGAACATGTTTGTAATTATTTCTTTCCCTGCAGAATAGCAGTATGACATATAGAAAGATTCCCTAAGTCTTATACATAAACGCACTTGGGATAATAAGAGTACTGCATAAACTCAAAAAAGAAATACATTTTCCCCCTGCAAGTCCAATTTTATCTGATAAGAACTTTAATTTGAATGGTGCTTATACATTTATATCCCATCATTGTGTGCCATCTCCATGTTAAAAGCTGCTCTCCACTCGCTAGAAAGCCTTATCTGAAGAGGCTACCCCAAGAGTCATGTTAACAACAGACAGAAAAGTTTCTGCCAAGGCAGACATTTATAATTGTATGATGAAATATTAATTCCCCCATATCAGAAAGGCTCTGGGGAAGAAAAAGTCTCTTACAGAGGAAAAAATGTATAATATTCAGAAGCAGAGGTGAAGGGAGGCTTCAAGTGGAAAGAAAATTTTTGAATTTCTCATTAATTTATACTAAAAGATGGGGAAATTCTTTTGATATTTCCCCCTCTGATGTGAAAGCATTTCAGTCTTTCTGAAAGCATTGATCTTCAGAAAGCACAGAGTCTTGAGATAAGTCTTTCTCAGAGAAAGACAAGTACTGTATGGTATCACTTATATGTAGAATCTGAGAAGGTCAAATCTGTAAATGCAGAGTAAAATGGTGGTCACCAGAGGATGGGGTGAGGGAACAGGACAGATGTTTAAGGGTACGAATTTGTAAGGAGTAGTAAATAAGCCCTAGAGGTCTAATGCACAGTATAGTGAATATAGACAATATTATACTATAATTATCAACTAGAACTTAATTATTCAACCACTAAAAAGAAAGTAATTATGTAACATGATAGAGGAGTTAATTATTACACAATGGCAATGATATTACAATATATAAATGCATCAAATTAACATGTTGTATACCTTAAATTTAAATCTTGTATGTCAAATATTTTTTAATTAAAAAAATTGAAAGATGGGCTTCCCTGGTGGCGCAGTGGTTGGGAGTCCGCCTGCCGATGCAGGGGACATGGGTTCGTGTCCCGGTCCGGGAAGATCCCACATGCCGCGGAGCGGCTGGGCCTGTGAGCCATGGCCGCTGCGCCTGCGCGTCTGGAGCCTGTGCTCCACAACGGGAGACGCCACAACAATGAGAGGCCCGTGTACCGCAAAAAAAAAAAAAAAAAATTGAAAGAGTGAAAGCACAGAGTCTTTTTTTGTTCTTTCCAAAATGGAAGTCATTGGGAAAGCCAAAGATACATATAGCATGATTTCTCAAAACTGCCTGTTCTCCATGATGGAGTGTGGGCACACAAACCATTATAAACATTCTCCCTTAAGAGAACACAGAAGCAAAATCTTTCAAATCAAAGAGGAACTAAAGGTGACCTAAAATAACAGGAAACACGAGCCAGGGGGTGAGGGTGCCTTAAAAACCAAACTAGACAAGCAAAAACAGCAGACAAAACATTGTGAGTTCCAACTTGTGATATAAATTTGGATCTTGGAAACACTGTAAATAGATGTATGAAATCATCAACTTGTTTAGTCAGACCATCAAATTATATCAAGATTTAGAGGAGAAAAATTAGATTGCAAAAATATCCCAAAAATGTTATTTCATACTCATTAATTCTTAAGGTTAATACATCAATGCAGAACTAATAAAAAAAGCAGATTAAAAAATCCCCCCAAAATGCCTTAAGATTTGATTCTGTTTCAAACCATCTGAAGAAGAAAGAACTTTGATTTTTGCTGTGCTTTAGTAAAATATCAAAGAAGGGCTTAAAATATAATAGTGACTTTCCCAAGAAAATCAGAGACAATGGTACTGTTTCTTCTGTCAACTACAAGCTGAGAAGGTTGTGTCTCTAATAACTACAGTATATTGTTTAAAATTCACCCAATCTTCAGTGTATTAATTTTAATTGTATCTAATACTGATGGCTTATTTGAAACAAAAAATTTTCCAGATAATTTATTATTTCAGAGTTCTAAAATAGTATATAATATTCATTTCTGAAGATTATTTTATCAGCGGATATTAACTCACTTGTAAATAAATGTAGTTCACCCTTTTGGAATACCTTAAAGGTTCCAATCTACTAAACCACGAAAGAAGGCAAAGAAAAATTAGCCTTTAAAAACATTTTGATGTCCGCGTCTGGGTCCTCCGCCACCCTCGGCGCGGGGGTGGGCCAGGGGCCTCAGCCGGTCGCGGCCCTCGTGATCTTCAAAAAAAAAATTTTTTTTTTTGATGAATAAAGTCTACCTTTTATTGAATCTTGAGCTACATTAAATTGCTAGCATTGCCGAGTGCTAGTAAAACGCTTTTGGATCAATGTGAATTCGTTTAACTACGGATGGTGCCTCATAAAATCACCAATGGTGAGGTAAATTGCATCTTTGCTTTCTTTGATCATGTTCATATTCTTATTTAGCAATTTTGAAATTACTTATCTTTTCCATGACCGTCAGTTGCCAATCTCAAAAGATCGTATAACTTGATAACATCACAATGACCGGCCATCCCACGTATCACTAAAACTGATTTACACAAAACATAAGTTGGAGATACATATGAGGATTCTAATTTTTTTTTTTTTCCTTCTTTTTGCTGCATGCGGGCCTCTCACTGCTGTGGCCTCTCCCATTGCGGAGCACAGGCTCCGGACGCGCAGGCTCAGTGGCCATGGCTCACGGGCCCAGCCGCTCCGCGGCACGCGGGATCCTCCCGGACCTGGGCACGAACCCATGTCCCCTGCATCGGCAGGCGGACTCCCAACCACTGCGCCACCAGGGAAGCCCTCTAATTTTTTTTTTAATACATGGCAGAGGAGAATGAAGAAATCTGAGTATGTAGGTTACCACAAGAATCTATTTTTTTATATGAGCTGGTCCTACTTCTTTTATTTTAGGAATAGTAACAGAGTTGAGAGATTTGATTTTTTTCTTTCAATTTCACCTTGGTTCCCCAGATAACACCTTTAAAATGATCATTTACTTTAATGTATTATAACTGTTTTGTGGGAGTAGAATAGGAGGATTTCAACTCATCATAGCAGAAATAGAACATTTTAGAAATCTAAAACAGAGAACTCATGTACTGCTCTCTGCACTGTTAAGTCACATTAATGATTTAAGTCAGAATCAAACACATGTGCCTTTCTTGTTCTTATTTTAATCTGTGATATATGAATAAACCTGTACTTACCTGCCCTTTTTTCTTCCTACAGTCTATCCATCTGCACATCTCAATCATCATGTAGATTCTGACAGACAAAAATACATCATTATTTTTTATATACAAAGATGAGACATTTTCCCCCCAATCAACTTTTAAATACTATACACTGGGTATTTACATATAGTCGAATTATCCTCTTACTCAGTCCCTATGTAATTCTACAGATGTCCATACTTGGGCACAGAGTACTTCTGTGATCTTTCAAAGGACTACATAAAACCAGTGATACTGAAAATTTGAACACATGTACAGCTTCTATCTACCTTCCCCCATCTGCTTTCAGCATGAAGTGTGCTCGGAGCTTTCTCCTTATGATGAAGATTGCTCATGCGTTCATTCATCCTCTCTTTCTTCCCACCTTATAATCTCCTTGGTGAGCAGCACTTCAAAGGACTAATGGAATAGAAGAGATCTTGTCCAAATCAGAAAGCAAATACAGTGCTGGAGAAGATAATTCATTACTTCTTTTGACATGGATGTGGTTAACAATGGCTGAATGACCTTCTCCTCTTTTGTACGCGTACTCAACACATATACATATACCAACACATGTCTGCTCACATAGCTTTTTTTCTTTCTTTAGCATTGCTTTCTTGACCTACATCTGTTAAACATATCAAGTTAATTCTTGGAAAAGAGTAATAAAGAAACTCACTATCTCTACATCCACAGCTCAGCTCTTGCAAACATGTATTGAAAACTTTTTATACTTATAAAAAGGATATAAGCTTGAATGCACAGCAACCCTAGTTCAAATCCTAGCTCTGCGCCTTACCTAACTCCCTATGTGCTTGGTAGATGGATGGATAGATTAATGGATAGATGGATGGATGGATGGATGAATATAACATATATGTTGTTCCTCATTACATTCTCTCTCTCTCTTCCATCTTCTAATCAAGCAGGTCTACTAAATGTTTACCACAAAGAGAGAATTATTGTGTACTTTTATTGTATCAGTATTTCTTATTTGGATTCCCTCTACTGCCCCTCCACTTACATTAACCACAGTAATCCTTCAGGACTGAGTTTAAGCCCTGACTCTTCCATGAAGCCTTGCTAGACCATCCTAATCTACAGGACATTTTCCATTTCCTTCTAAATTCTTTTTTTTTTTAAATTATGTATTTACTTATTTGGCTGCACCTGGTCTTAGTTGCGGCATGCAGGATCTAGTTCCCTGACCAGGGATTGAACTCCGGCCCCCTGAATTGGGAGTGTGGAGTCTTAACCACTGGACCACCAGGGAAGTCCCCTTCTAAATTCTTTACACTTATTTTACCTCTCATTTGACATTAACTACCTCTTACTTTCTATATGAGTTTTTGTTTTCAGATATATGTTTGTTTCCCACCCCCCCAATTGTAAACTCTTTCGGAGCAACAGTTGTGATTTCTATTTTTTGTTATCGCCAACATCACTGTGTAGCACAGGCTTCTGTATATGTTGAATTAAAAATAAATATTTCCTGGTCATTATAGCCTATACCTTATTAGGGTTTTAAGACACATCAAGTATGAATAGAATATAGGCTTAATTTGAAATGGTGAAGACGCAAAATCTGTATCTATATATTTCTATATCTGTATGTACAATATATCTCTATCTGTAGTTCTAGTTGGTTATATATATGCATATATAAAATTTTTATGAATATAAACTGTATATTTGCAAAATTTTTATGAATGTAGACTATATATTCTCAGAGGAAAAAACTGGAAATATACAAAATAATACTTAGTGATACAGTTGGGTTTGGAAATATGGATGAATTTATTTTCTAATATATATATTTTTAATACCTCAATTTTTTCCGTTTTTAAATTTTCCTTTTTTTATGGGAGCTGGTACTACTTCCAAGATTGTAATCATTTCATCTTTAGAATTGAACTCCTTCTAAATTTTAAGTTTCCTCAGTTCGTACCAACTCTCTACTAAAATACAAAACATATTAGGAGAATAACATCAAAGATAGTGATGAAATCTTGTCATAGTTAATCTTTAATTGAATCAACAATTTGCTGTGAGTTTGATGCTGTGGGAACCCAGGATATGTTTCACTGGGACTTGTTACTTTTCCTTGCAACTAGCTTTCTCTTTCTCTCACAAGGAATCTAACTCTGCTTCTTGTTTCTGTGTCAAGAGATCTTAACCATTTATGATTCTGTCCTGTCCCAGGTCACTCCCTTCCTTCTTTCTGGTGAATTCCAGTGGTGTCTTTGGGAGTAGAAATTAGCACCTGCAGATCAGACCCCTTCCTCTTTCCTTATTTCTAGAAACCAGCTGCCCAGACAGAGCAAGCAGTTTTCATCTGACCAGCTCTGTGCCCTCATGCTCTCAGTATCCCAATATTGTGAAGCCCAAGGTTCTCTATTGTTACCTGCATCTGGTGCATTTATTCTGAAAAATTCTTGGATTTCGAAACAAGAACATATCGGGACCACGCGCTTAAGATGCAATTAGTAATTAAGTATGAGCTTTATCATTAATACAGGCCATTGTTTTATCTCCATCAATTAAAAGTTCTACCTTTTAAATGATTCAGAGTTGGGAAAAACACAAGAGCTTTACATATGACAACCTCTAATCCAGGGGTCCCCAACCCTCCGTACCACGGACCAGTGCCAGTCCTTGGCCTGTTAGGAACCTGGCTGCACAACAGGAGGTGAGCAAGCGAAGCGTCATCTGCCTCTCCCCATCGCTCCCCAAGGCTCCTGTCACCACCTGAACCATCCCCCCCCACCCCCGCCTCCCCATGGCTCCCCAAGGCTCCCGTTACCACCTGAACCATCCCCACCCCCCCGCCCCCGCCGTCCATGGAAAAATTGTCGTCCACAAAACCCATCCCTGGTGCCTAAAAGGTCGTGGACTGCTGATCTAATTTAATACCCTTCACTCACCTATAACTTTTATGTATCTTGTTCATTTATTCACACTTGTTTCGCATATTCATTTTTTCTTTTTCTTCCCCTCACCAAACATGTGGAAAACAATTCCATATCCTTTTGTCCTGGCAGAAAAGAGAATTAGGATTGAATTTTCAGGTGATTTAGTGTGTGTGTGGGGGTATTTCTTGAGTTATAGAGCAGAACAAATACCCTCTTAATCCAATTGCAGAGGATAAATGAGCTATTAAAATATACCTCAGAATAGAATTACTAGCAATGTTTTTTTTTTTTTTTTGCGGTATGCGGGCCTCTCACCCCTGTGACCTCTCCCGTTGCGGAGCACAGGCTCCGAACGCGCAGGCTCAGCGGCCATGGCTCACGGGCGCAGCCGCTCCACGGCATGTGGGATCTTCCCGGACCGGGGCACGAACCCGTGTCCCCTGCATCGGCAGGCGGACTCTCAACCACTGCGCCACCAGGGAAGCCCACTAGCAATGTTTTTGCATCCTGATTTTATCTGTATGGTTTCACATAGGAGGAATTGTAAATCCATTTTACCGCATGGAAGCTACATCAAAGACACGGGCCAAAAATAAATGGACAAAGCAGTCCTTAATATCTTTTGAGAGATGAGAGTTACAAATGATTTTTTTAAACAACAATCTGAAAGAGGAGTAATTAAGAAATTGTTAAATTAATATTTTACATATATCTTTATCTGAACTACATTGAACCACATATTCACAGCCTCCAATAATATCTTGATAGTTTTAATCCAAATGAAATAAATTTTTTTTCTATTACCTGGAGGCATTTTTTTTAAGTGAAAGAAGAGTACCTATAAAAACTCACAATTTGCAGTTTCCTACAATAAAAGTCTCAAAGTCTCTTAATTGAATAAGCCATCAATCTCTCTAGGCCTCAGTTTTCTCATCTGTTAAAGTAGCAAATTGGTTTATCAATCTCTTCTAGTAATAACATTCTCTGATTGCAACTGGAGTTATGATTTTATATTTAAAACCCAATTGTCCTTGGGATTTACATTCTATTGAGCTGAATAGTAGTATCTCCTTGAAATTTCCTCTTAGTGAAATCTCCCCAACACCTCTATTTTATAGTATGTCTTTTCTTTAATAGCCAAGGTAATTGTATGATTTTAAGTTGTGAATAATAAAGCCTCTGTAGTGGGAAAGCCTGATGATCAAATAAGGCTATAAAGCTAGGTTTTTTAAAAAGGTTGTTATTTCTTTGTCCTTCAATTGTTATTTCATTTAAATAAAATCACTCACGTATCAGAAACTAAAATAGTAAATACAGGAGCAGTCTTTCATCAGGGATACAAATAGAAAGGTAAATTAAGATTTAGAGCAAAAATGAAGCAGGACAGCTCTATTTTCTAGGCACTCATAATTTTCTGGAGTATTGAAAAAATCAGACAGAATAGGATAAATATGGCAGACCTATCCTGCCTTTAATGTATCGAGGAATAATAACTCAGAAAGGTAGGCAGTATTGTATTTCAAGGAAAATCTTCGATATCAACATTGCCTTTCAGAATTTTGAAGTCAGTCTAACAAAGTGTGAAATGGCTGCTAATGTATTCATGCTTTAGAACTTTAATTCCTGTAGACTTCCATAAAGCTGACTAGTGGTAATCAGGAATTTGTTGTCCTAATAATTACTAGCTCCCTTACTATGTGTTTTTTATCAAATGAAGTATTATACCACTGTTTAAGCATTCAAATCCCAAAAGAGAAATTTTAAACATACATTTAAAGAAATATTTTTGGAGCGCCACATCGTTTATCTTATTATTCATTCACTTAGATTTTCCTTGCTCTCTTTACTATGAATTTATTGAACAAGTGTTCTTTTGAAATCAAGCAACTAGGCAGCTGCTTTCATCTGAATTGAATATTCAGTGGAAAAGGAGAAACCATTTATTTATGTGACATTGAATTGATAGGATTCTACATCTGTGTCCACATTGCTACCACCAAATCTCTTGGTGCAGTTGTAAGTTTAGCAGCCAGTCTGGGTACCAGGGTAGAATAATATATCCTATATCCATATGTGTTATTATTTGATTAATATGGAAAATACCTGAGAATTCCTAAAATTGCCCCCCAGAGCATTAAATCCACTTCTGTTTTACCCCATCTCTAAGTCCAGAATACTTGGGCTCAAAAACTCAGAAGTTACATCAAATAGACCGACATCACAATCACTTGAACTCATAACATCAGAGGCCAGGCCCAAAGTAGCTGTGTAAGTAGCTGTGTAATTTCTAAATTCATTTAGAAAACTAAATCCCTTGGGATTTGTTGTGGATGGAATTCCGCGGCCCCCCCCCCCCCGCCATTCATATATTGAAGTCCTCATCCCCATTACCTCAGAATGTGACTGTATTTGGACATAGTGCCTTTAAAGAGTGAATTAAGGTAAAATGAGGTCATATACGTGGGCCCTAATTGGATATGACTCATATCCTTTTAGGAAGAGGAGATTAGAAGACAGAAGCACATAGGGAAGACCATGTGACGACAGAGAGAAAAGGCGACCATCTCTAAACCAAAGAATCCCTAAAAATGATCCAACCCAGCTGACACTTTGATCTTGGACTTCTAGCCTTCAGAATCATGAGAAAATTAATTTCTGTAGTTTAAATCACCCAATCTGTGTCACTTTGTTATGGCAGCCCTAGAAAACGGATACAGGCATCAAAGTCTGGAAAGTTCTGGTATTTATCTGCCCTCTTTAAGGGACATACCTTCTGGAGCTTTTCTTAATTAAAACCTGTCCCTCATAACAATCTCTGTGAACCTTTAAGTACACTTTGTTACAACCTTATTTGCCTACTACATTAAAATCTGGATTTAGTGGAAAATTTTCACTCATACAAATGTTCAGGTCTCAAGGGTCACTAAAATTTTGTGAATGCCTGAAATCTCTATCTACCTTCCACTTAGTGTAGGGACATATAGGAGCTGTAAAAATGGGCTCACCTCCCCCATTCAAAAGTCAAAAACATGTAGATCTCATGAGCATTTATCCCCCTCAGAAAGGCACAATATACTTTCGCATAGCTTCATGAAAAGAGTAGTCTACGTAAGTTGATAATAGCTTTCTCCCTCATTTACCATCAGATAATATCCTTGGGACCTAGAGTTTCATTAAAAATTGAGAGGATGGGCATTTTTTAGTGAAAATAAAAGTGTTTCACTTAATATTTTCTAATTACTAAAGCAAGAGGAATGAGTGTTTTTTGCATTATGCCTGGAAGATAATAGAATGGGCTGCATCAGACATAAACAGAAAAGCAAGACCACCTTTTGTGTGTGCCCTGAAATATCCAGGTTAATATCCATGGCCTGGTAATTTAGTAACTCATACAATATTTTATAATTCACATACTTCCACATTTTATCATCTCTAAAATCAGGAAGCATTTTACAATTATAAATGGCAACAGTTTTTTCTTAGAAATCTCTTAAAGTCAATAGCATCTAGATTCCATGAAATATAAAAATATTTCTAAATAGTAAAACTATTGGTTTAAAAGTAAACAAACATGTCTGCCTTTTACTTGGTGAAATTATCATACATCTTTTAATTGTAAATCCCTCCTTCTCTTTAAGAAATCATGCATTTCCAACACCACCATCTTCAAATACTTCCTGCTGATAGTGGAAGGTGCTTTTTCAATCACTGCCCACTCTGGGTAGAGAAAAACCAGGATTCAATTCATCAATGACCAAAGAGAATTATATTTCTAGCCTTACTAATGAAGAACAATTGCTGTATTAAAGATAGAATGTCTCTCCATATCCCTCCTTCCATCTAAGTTCATTTAGAAGACTAAACCCCTTAGGGTTTGGTATGGGCTGAATTGTGTACCTTATCTGAAGCTGGTCATCTGTTAATAATATTTATCTCTCAGTTTCACTTCCCAGCTTCTGAGCACCTTCCAAACTAATAGATGAGCAATCAATCAGCCCGTTCTGAATTTTTGTATAGAAGTGCCTTATAATTAGAAATGGCTCCATACAAAGAGGCATTACATGTTCCACAAATATGAAGGGAATTCATAATGACATAATTAGCTGAAAACTCTCCCCAGCCAACACTGTTCTTTGGGCAATCATTTTATCAATACCCCATAAGAACAGGATTTTTTTTTTAAACATAAAAGCTCTATCTGATAATTTTCAGAGGATGGTTAACTCTTAAAGAATGAATTTTTTAAAAATTTTCTATTAGAAACTTAAAACCCTGTTAAACATAATCTTAAATAAATTGCAATTTAATAATTACTTACATTGTATATATTCTAAAAATGTGCTCTAACATCTTCACTCACTTCAAATATATTTACTGAGTATTGACCATATATTGGGACTCAGGAACACAATATTCAAATCTCTTACCATACCACAATCAAAGTGTTTTCCAAGGCTGGGGTCCCACCTGAAGACTCAGCTGGGGAAGATTCACTCCCAAGCTCACATGGTTGCTGGCAGAGTTCAGTTCCTCATGCATTGGACTGAGGGTCTCAGTTCTTAGCTCACCTTTGGATGGCAGCTGCCCTAAATTTCTTGCTTCTTCAACATGGCAGCTTATTTTATCAAACCATGCAAGCTGACAAAGCCATATGGAGAGTCTCCTAAGAAGATGGAGGCTATAATCTCTTGTACTATAATCACAGAAGTGATATCCTTCTTCTTCAACATGGCAGCTTATTTTATCAAACCATGCAAGCTGACAAAGCCATATGGAGAGTCTCCTAAGAAGATGGAGGCTATAATCTCTTGTACTATAATCACAGAAGTGATATCCCTCATTGTTGCCATCTTTTTGTTAGAAGCAAGTTACTCAAGAGCAGGGGTTATACCAGGCCATGAATACCAGGAGGCTGGGATCATTGGGAGTCATCTTAGAAGTCTACTAGATGGATTAAATAAATAAGTATATTTATTTATAAATATATTTAAATAAATAAGCATACTATAAAATATTGTTACATGTAAAATATCTAAATTTTTTACATAAAATTTATTTTTGAAAACCTCATAAATTTACGCTACCAATTAAAATTCAGGACTACAGGGTTTTTTACTTCTTG